TCGACGTTCTTCCGGCTGGCCGTGAGCCCGATGCTGCAGGCGCCGAAGGCTCCCCCGGGGTCGGCCGCCCGCCCGCCCCCCCCCCCCCCGAGCCTGGGGGGGGGGGCGAGGTTCGAGCATCTCCGGCGCTGCGTCGGTTCTCGGTTCGGACGGCGCCAGAAGTGCCCCTTCGAAGAAATAACGCCACAAACCTAAACTTTTGGCGCTCCGCGCGGATTTCTTGGATCCGCGCTGGGCCCCTACATGCGGCGCCTCTGGCGCCGCCCCTGATCCAGCGCAGATCCGAGAAGTCCGCGCGGACCTCCAAAAGTTATGTTCATGTTTTGTTTCCTCCACAGAAGTGCCCTTGGCCCAAAGTGCCCCCAGGATTTCCACGGAAGCCCCACACCCTCCAGAGCACCCCTCACGAGGCTTGGGGGGGCCCAGGAGCTCCAAAGCAACTCTCGACTCGGCTATTTTCCAGCCCCCGGGGTGCTTTCCACCCGTTGCGCCACGCCGAGACTGTGTTGGGAGCGCCCGAGTTGTCCCAAACGGGCCTCAACCGACGAAGAATCAACCCCACAAACATAAATGTTTGGCGCTCCGCGCGAGTTTCCTGGAGCTGCGCTGGACCCCCCTCCCTGGCGCGCGGAGCGCGCCGCCCACGGCTGGAGCCGCCTGCCTTCACCGAAGAAGAAATGACGGCATATAAACATACATTTCAGGAGGGAAAAAAACACACAGACACAATTAATCATCGACTCCCAGGAACAATGGGAAAATATGGGAAGTGGAGGAGAAGACAGAATCCCAGAAAATTTTGGAAAATATTGGGAATCCTGTTATTTGTGTGTGTGTGTATTTATTTGTGTGTCCCAGGGCCCCTTCAACACTTTTGGCGCCCCGCGCGGATTCCTTGGATCCGCGCTGGCGGCGCGTCCGGCGCCGCCCCTGGCGCGCTCCGCGCGACGGGGAGGGGGGCCCAGCGCAGACCCAGGAAGTCCGTGCGGAGCGCTGGAAAGTTTACGTCTGTGGCGCTTGCCCTCTTTCTATATTCTTGGCATCGCTCGGACGTGTGCTTTTTTCCTTCGGCGAGAACCATCGAGGACCATCCTTGATCATTTGGCAAAAACACACACACACACACACACACACACACACACACACACACACACAAACAAACAAAAAAAACGCACGAAGCCGAAAAATGCACGGGCAATGGGCGTCCGAGAGATGGCGAGGCTTGCCCTCCCTCTATATTGGGGTCGCTCCTGGCCCTCCAGGGGGGCTCCCCCCGGGGCCACGGCTGGATCCGCCTCCGCAAGGTCCGAGCAGGGCGCACCCTGGAGCGAGGCCGGGGATCGATGCTGGCCCCCAGTCGGGCCGGACGAAAGGGGGGGATTGGGAAAGGGGGGGGTACGAAGCCTGCTACATGCAGCTGGTTTCGGCCCCGCCTGGGCCCCCCCTTTACTATCCCCCCCTTTCGCCCGGCCCGACCCAGGGCCTCGACCTTCAGGAGGGAAAAGAGAACACAGACACAACGAATCGTCGATCCCCCAGAAAAGATATGGGAGAGCAAGGGGAAGTGGGGGGGGGAGACGAGTACCAGGAGAACATGGGGAGTCCTGTTCTTTGTGTGCATGTATTTTTGTGTGCCCCAGGGCCCCAGTCAGCCCCCATATGGGAAAAAAGGGGAAGTGGGGGGGGGGGAGACGAGAACCAGGAGAATATGTGGGGAGTCCTGTTCTTTGTGTGTGCATTTAGATTTGTGTGTGCCCCCAGGGCCCCCCTTCGGACACCCTCGCGTCGCCCCTCGGCCTCCGCTCTCCGCGCCCCGCCGGGCGCCCGGTGCTGCGCGGGGGGGGGGCGGCCGCCGGAGGTGGCCAGCGGCCGAGGCCGCCGCGGAGGGGGGCGGCGGCCCTCGGCGGCCTCCTTTGGCCGCGCCGCGGCAGCAGCCAGAAGGCGCGGGGAAGGCGCCTACACCTTAGGCGATGCTTAAGAAAACTTAAGTTTTCGGCCAGAATCTCGATTATTCTGAACGTTTCAATGTAAATCTTGAGATGTTGATAGAAGTTCTGGGTTTTTATTCAAGTTCTGAGACTCTGAATTTCTTAACCCATGAGTTCTTAAGCATTTCGCAGGGTGTAGACTCAGAGCGTGAATCACCTACCCCGCTTTCGCTTCCAGGCAAAGCCAGGTCAGACCACGCGCCTCCTCGTCAGGCGGCCTGACCAGTGCAGGCCGTAGTTCGGCATCGCTTGGTATCTCTTGGAAGCGAGGTAGGTTTGTTTGCCCCCTATAGACGTAAGAGTGACCTTTCGCCGGAGTGGCCTTTGGTGCGGGCACAGATGGGTCCCCAGATGGCTGGAAGAGAAGCGGCAGCATCAGTTTGCGCGCTTGTGTGTTGGCCCCCCCGCGGTCCCAAAAAGCCGTGCACCAAAGGTCACTCTTACCCAGGGTCACTCTTGCGTGTAGCCGAGGGAGGCGCGGAAGGCGGAGGTCCAGAAGGGGGGCGGTTTCTGTTGGGGCAGCTGCCAGCCTCCAGGGGAGGCCCGTCGCCTATGGTTGCCTCTGTGTCGCAGGAGCCCTCGTTCTCATTGAGCTTTGGCTGTCCTGCTCTGAAGAGTCCTGCATAGTCCCTGGCCCTGTTGGGGCCCCGGGCGGGGCCGTCGGAGGAGGGCTCGGGGCGGCCCCAGGGGGCGCCGGCCTCCTGGGAGCCTCCTGGGAGCACAGCGCCGGGCGTCCGAGCAAGGGGAGTCGGCGGCGAGCGAGGGGGGGAAGCGAGAAGGAGAATGCCTTCTCGGAAGGCGGCGGGACTTCTCAGAAGCCCTCGCGCCTTCTGAGAAGTGTTTTTTGTGTTTTCGGGGAAGGCTTAGAACACTTTTCAGAAGGCTAGGGGACTCCCGGGTCTTCTTAGAAAGCCTTCTCGTTCTCATTTCGCCCCCTCGCTCGCCGCCGAAGGAGGGGGGCGGGGGCTGCGACTGACAAATCATTCATCGAATGACGAAAAACTGCACAGGGGCGTCCAGCGCTGACCCTCGAAATCCGCACAGACCTCCGAACGGTAAGGTTCATGCAGTGGCTTCTTCTCCATGGGGATGTGGAGGAGGGGGAGGAGAAAGCGGCGGGAGGGGGGAGAGGGATGGGGAGGGCGAGGGGGTGGGACTGTAGGGCGATGCTCATCCTACAGGGGCGGCAGGTCCCCAGGTTGGGCAAGGCAGGAGAGGCCACCAGACCGAGGGCTTCGAGACCCTGGCGCGGAGCGGCGGCGGAGAGGAGGGGAGGAGGGCAGAGGGAGTTCCGCAGGACGGGATCGGGTCCTGCAGGAGATGGGTCCGGGAAGCGTGTTGACCCCGGCGCTCCCCAGGGCCATCGAAGCGCGGCTCGGGACGGAGAGCTGGTCCCGGGGAGCCCTGGTGTATAGGACACTGCATTTTTTGCGCATCGTGTTTTTCCACCACGTGTATAGGACGTCACGCTTTTCCATTATGGCGACTACGAGACGACGACGACGACGACGACGAAGAGGATGACGACGACGACGACGACGACCATGACGACGACTTCGACGACGACGACGACGACAACACCACCACGACGAGGACGACGGCGACGACGACGACGACCACCACGACGACGACGACGATGACGACGACGACCAGGATGACGAGGGACGACGACGACGACCGCGACGACCACGACGACCAGGACGACGACGACGACGACGACGACGACGACGAGGACGCCGAGGGACGAAGATGACAACGACGACGAGGAAGTTGACGACGACGACAAGGACGACGACGACGCCGAAGACGACGACGACGAGAACGACAACGAGGAGGACGACTACGACGACGACTACGACGACCACAACGACGACGACGACAACGAGGACGACGACGACGACGATCACACCACCACGACGACGACCACGACCAAGACCACGAGGACAACGACGACCATGACGACGACGACGACGACGACGACGACGACGACGACGACGACGACGGCCACACCACCACGACGACGACGACGACGAGAACGACGACGACTGCGACGGCGACGACGACGACGACGACCAGGACGACGAGGACGACGATGACGATGACGATGACGATGACGACGAGGAAGACGACGACGACAAGGACGACGACGACAACGAAGACGACGATGACGACGACGACGACAACGAGGACGACGAAGAGGGCGACAACGAGGAGGACGACTACGACTACGACGACAACGACGTCGACGACGATCAGGATGACGACGACGACGACGAGGATGAGAACGAGACGACGGCGAGGACGACCAGGACGACGAGGACGACGGCGACGGCGACGACGACGATGACGACGACGAAGACGACGACAACGACGACGACCAGGACGACGAGGGACGACGACGACGACGACGACGACGACGACGACGACGACGACGACGACGACGACGACGACGACGACGACGACGACGACTAGGACGACGACCAGGACGACGAGGGACGACGACGACGACGACAATGACGACGACGAGGACGACGAGAGACGACGCCGACGGCAACGACGAGGAAGACGACGACGACAAGGACGACGAGGACGAGGACGACAACGATGAGGACGACTACGACGACGACGACGACGACTACGAGGACCACGACGACGACGATCAGGACGACGACGACAACGACGACGACGAGGACGACGACGACGACGACGACGACGAGGGCGAGGACAACGAGGACAACGACGAGAACGCCGACGACGACGACCGACGACGACGACGACGAGGACGACGACGACGAGGACGACCACGAGGACGACGACGACGACGAGGACGACGACAACGACGACCACACCACCACCACGACGACGACGACGACGACGACCACGAGGACGACGACGACAAGGACGACGACAACGACAACGAAGACGACGACCACGACGACAACGAAGACGTCGACGACGACGACGAGGAGGACGACTACGACAACGACGTCGACGACGATCAGGATGACGACGACGAGGACGACGAGGAGGACGACGACGAGGACGACGAGGGACGACGACGACGACGACGATCAGGACGACGACGACGACGACGACGACTACGACGACGACAACGACGACGAGGGACGACGACGACGACGAGGACGACGAGGGACGACGTTCACGACGACGAGGACGACAACGACGTCGTCGACGACCACGACGACGACGACGACCACACCACCACGACGACGACGACGACGACGAGGACGACGAGGACGACGACGACGGCGACGGCGACGACGACGACGACAAGGACGACGACGACAAGAAGAACGACGAGGACGACGTCGACGACGACGACGACGACGACGAGGAAGACGACGACGACAAGGACGACGACAACGACAACGAAGACGACGACCACGACGACGACAACGAAGACGATGACGAACACGACAACGAGGAGGACGACTGCGACAACGACGTCGACGACGATCAGGATGACGACGACGAGGGCGACGAGGATGACGACGAGGAGGACGACGACGAGGACGACCAGGACGACGAGGACGACGACGACGATGACGACGACGATGACGACGACAACGAAGACGACGACAACGACGCCGACGACGACGACTGCGAGGACGACAACGACGTCGACGACGACAAGGACGACGACCGACGACGACGACGACGACGACTGCCGCGCCGACGATGACGACGACGACGACGACGACGACCACACCACCACGACGACGACGACGACGACGATGACGAGGGACGTCGACGAGGACGACGACGACGACGACCAGGACGACGAGGGACGACGACGACGATGACGACGACGAGGACGACGACAACGACGACTGCGACGACGAGGAAGACGACGACGACAACGAAGACGACGACGACGAGACGACGACGACGACGAGGACCATAACGATGAGGACGACGACGACTACGACGACCACGACGACGACGATCAGGACGACGACGACAACGACGACGACGACGAGGACGACGACGACGACGAGGACGAGGACAACGAGGGAGACGACGAGGACTCCGACGACGACGACGACAACCGACGACGACGACGACGACGAGGGACGACGACGACGAGGGACGACGACGACGACGACGACGACGACCACGACGACGACGACGACCGCCGCGCCGAGCACTGGCAGCGCTTCGACCGCCTCTCCCTCGTGGTGCTACGATGCGCTCTCGCGCTGCCCGCAGGCAGGCTTGCGGCCCGCTCGGGGGGGCAACGTTGGGGGGGGGACGCATCGACCCCCAACAGGGCCAAACCGTCCCGACCCTTCTGCCCTTCCTTCTCCTGCCCCTCGTCAACCTCATGCTCCTCGTCAACCTTATGCTCCTCGTCCTGCTCCTCATCATCCTGCTCCTCTTTACGCTCCTCATCCTGCTCCTCTTCCTGCTCATCCTCCTGCTCATCCTCCTGCCCCTGCTCTTCCTTCCTGTCTTCATGAAGTCATTGGTGACGCGCGCTGAGACGACGTCGACGGTCGATTGAGACGGCGACCACGACGACGACGACGACCACCACCACCACCACCACTACCACGACGACCACCACCACGACAACGACGACGACGGCGGCGTCGGCGGCGGCGACGACGACGACGATGACGAGGACGACGGCGACGGCGGCGGCGGCGACGACGACGAGGGCCAAACTTGATTTCCCTCAGGTGTTGCAGGATTTTGGCGTTCTCGCCATTTCGGGCTCCCGACCCTCCAAGACGGCCCGAGAGGCCGGGAGGCCCCCCAGAGTTAGCCCCAACGGCTCACCGGACCCCCAAAAGCGCCCCAAGACGGCCGAAGAAGGTACCAGGACAGCCCCAGATGCTCCCAAGACGGCCCCAAGAGGGCCCCAAGAGAGCGCCAAGATTGGGAACACGAATCGACATGTCGAGCCCTCGGCCCCAAAAGGGCTCGTTTCGATCCCTCCGAGTCGATTCGATTCGATTCGATTCGATGGCTTCCGATTCCGATTGGATTCGACCTCGGATTCCGATTCGGATTCTGGTTTCTCAATGGAGGCCTTGTTCGTGTTTCGACCCCGATTTTGGCGGCGAGCGAGGGGGGGAAGTGAGAAGGAGAAGGTTTTCTCAGAAGGCGGCGGAGCCTCTCAGAAGGCCTCTTGCCCTCGGAGACATGTTTGTTCTGTCTTCGGGGGAGGTTCCGAAAGCTTTTTCGAAGGCAGAAGGATGTCCGAGCGCTCCAAAAGTTTATGTTTATGCCGTTTGCTTTTCCTCCATCGTCGTCGTCGCGAGGGTTTTTGCTACCTTCTGGGCCATAACGCCCGTTCTGCCCCCCGACCCTCCCCCGTCCGTCCCCCCACCCAGAATGTAACGCTGCCCCCCCCAGTGCGTCCCCGGCATTGCCGCAATGCGTCCGACACCGCAGTCTGGGGGGGGCGGGGACGCTACGTCATGCCCCCTCATGTCCCCCCCCGCCATAACGCCCGTTACGGCCGCGAATAAAAAAAGATGCGCTCGTCGTCCACCGAATTTACAGTCCAGCGTTCTGGAGGTCTGGCTCTGCAATGCCTAAGGTCGCCCATTCATCCCCGATAGGGGCCCGACAGCGTATCCCGCCCAGGACCGCGCGGTGTCGCTGTCGGGGGCATATGGCCAATCTGTCGGAGGTGAATCGCCGAGTCCCTCTACAGGTGGAATATTCAGGAATAGTCCAAAAAATATGGGGGTGATTTTTTATCTGTTTTGAATATGTTTGAGCATGTTTTTACATATTGTTTTCCCTCAAAAATCCACCTGTAGGGGGACATGCCCGACCTAATTCAAGTTCGGCATGTCTCCCCCTGAGGTGGTACCCCCCCCCCTGACGTCGCCCTGCTCTCCCGTGCGCCTCCGCCGCCGCCCCGCCAGCCCGCCGCTGCCCCCCGTCGCTGTCGTGAGCTGCACCCTCGCTGCCCCATGGGCCGTCGCAGATCGGGGAGCTGTCCTTCCGATCCGGGGGGCGATAACGTTTAAATCAGGCCTGTCCCTCTGCAGGAGGAAAATTCAAAAATAGTCAAAATAGTCTAGAGACGACTGTTCTGCATGTTTTGAAAATGTCTCAAATCTGTTTTAATTATTTTGAATTCTCAATTATTTTGAATTCTCAATCCAAAATCCCCCTGTAGGAGGACATGCCTGACCTAAGACAACGTGTTGGTTTGCGAGGGCTTTCGAATGTGTTCCTCTGTATCCTAGATGTCTTCGGGCCCTGGGCTGGTCTCCGTCAGCTCTTCGCCTCGTCGAGCTCTCTTTCGGGGAAGCCCCGGGTTGTCCCGAATGGCGGCTGCGAGGTCCGAGGAGTTGTGGCCCAAGAGCCAACGGAGACACTTCAGACACGCTGGATGCCGTCAGACCTGGGCGACGCCAAAGTAACGGGAAGGGGTCAGAGGAGGGACAGGTTGGATAAGTAAGAGGCGTAGGAAGAGAATGCGAGCGATGTTGGAGGTGTGGTGGGGGGGCGCGACTGGATGGGAGGAGGGCGAGGAGGAGGAAGAGCGAATCGACTCGGCTGGCAGACGCGTCTAAAACATCACCGCCTTGGAAGAGGAAGAATGAAGAAGGACGGGAAGGAATTGCCTGGAATTCACTGGCGCTGAAGTTCCTACAGTCGAGCTCGGTTACTAGGTAGACCCTTACAAATCAAGGGTACCCTTGAATCCTGTGTCTCGCGTCCCAGGTCCTTTCTATTCCTGGGTCAGTGTGGCCCTTGGAAGGGTGTTGTTTCCTCTCGCGTGCCTTCTCCAATCAAACTCGACTACACAGTGGAAACGCTCCCACACCAAACATGTCCAAAAATCAATGGACGTCCCGGGGTCTCCGGGTTGGGTTTCTTGTGGAAGGTATATTGTAAACGGGCCTCCGCTGTATATCCAAAATTGTGCATGAGATGCTTTGAGAGCCTGCTTCGCTCAACCACGGCCCCGTGCGCGCAACGGCCGCCAGCCGCAGCAACCAGTGGGTCCCGGCAGGGAGGGTCCGAGAACCACCGAGCTCGTTCCACGACTCGCACAAGTGCCTGCTCGCAAACGGCCGAAAATCACACGTCTGCTTCGATGTAATTCCCCAACCAGTGCTTGCACTGAAGGGTCCTGGCGGAAATTGAAAGATTTGGCGAAAGCTTCCCGCCGATTTTGGTGGCCGGCTGGGTTCCCGGGTTCCCGGTTCCCGGGTTCCTGGTTATTGGTTCCGGGCCGATTTCGGTGGGTTGGTTCCCGGGTTCCCGGCTGATCTCTTTATCGATCAAACCATCCATTGATTGGGGCTTTTCTTTGGCTTAATGTTATCGTAGATCCTCCGCGGCGGATCGGTGGAGTGCGCTCGTCTAGAGAAGGGACCCCCAGAAAGCGGACGAAGACTGCACACTGCCCCCCCCCTCCCCAGGGAGGAGAGGGAGGTCTTTGCGGAGGCGGGCGGGCCGTGTCGCCAGAATGTCCCGCAGTCTGGTTCGTTCGGCCGTTCGCGACAGGGCACCGAGCTCCGCCAAACAGGGCACCTGCGAACGCGACCACTGATTCGTGTCTCGCGCACCTGCGGCGCGCCGAAGGTGTTTCCAAAGTCCCTGCGGCGCGCGCGAGTGGCATGCTGCTCTTCCGGTTTGGCGCAGTCTTTGCGCGGCCAGCCTTAAACCAGGGATCTCTGTGGCGGCCAGCCGTGCCGCCAGAGGGTCCTGCGACGCGGGCCGTTCGCGCCAGGGCGCCGAGCTCCGCCGAATCATACACCTGCGAACGCAAACACTGCTCAAATTTGCGCGAGCCTACGGCGCGCCGACGGTACTTCCGAAGTACCTGCGGCGCGCGCGAATGGCACGCTGCACTGTCGGTTTGGCGTCGCGTCTGCGCGGCCAACCTTAAGCCCGGATGACGGAGGGCGGAGGAAGGCAGAGAGGGAGGGAGGGAAGGAGAAGAAAGGACAGAGGAGAAGGAGCAAAGTTGAGTGGTGGGCCCAGGGGAAGAAGCATCGACCCCCAATCGCCGATGG